GAGGGACTTATGATCATTTTGATTTTGTTTTGCCAAAGATACTCGACGTGCAAGCATGGCCCATTTTGGAAGGCAACATGTGGGATTACCCTAGAGGGTGCAAGTGTGATTGTGCATTGATTTCGTGTATTTGTCTTGTATTAGGTTATCTAGCGTTTGATTTTATGTACATGCAAACCCTAGGTCTAACCATGGTATAATTGGAAAACTGTAAATTGCGGAATGTAAAATCTACGCTATTACAAAGTTAGTATCCGGGAGTGGGGGTACAAGTGTATGAATGGGGATGAGACTTATAGTATCCAATAAGTTACAACCAAATCGAATTTGCGATCAAATGTAAATGACGAATATCAATGTATAAGATAAACAAGTATGTAGGAGCAATGTGAATGTATTGTGTAAGTGTACAAGTATATGAGTATGTGATTATTTACAGGTGCGATAATGTGAAATTGATGAAAGTATTGTTAGGTATTTGTTTTGACCTAAATATGCGTTTAATGAATCTTGGATTTGTATATTTTTAATATGCACAAAAGAAATGTGTTTTAATTGAATGTTCAAGTTCTAATTGAATTATGATGTTTTAAGAAAAGAAAATATTTCTAAGTTAAAAAGGTTTTTTTTCATGTGCTATGAATTGAATTATTTATATTAAAGAAGAAATGTATTTTTAATTGTTATGAATTGAATTATTTATATTAAAGAAGAAATGTATTTTTAATTGTTATGTACAAAAGGAACATTTAAAAGAAAAAAGGTATTTTCAATTTTTTTACTATATTGTATATAAAAAAATGGTTCTATTAAATTTATTAGAGTTATGTATATATAGAAATATGTTTTTAAGTATTTTTGTAGTGAAGGACTATTGCCATACTTTGTATTTTTATTTAATTAAGTTTGTTTAAAAATAAAAAATATTAGTGTAATAGTAGAATACAATTAGTATTAAGTAAAACAAAGGAGTGGTTAATTAGTGCAAGATGTTAAAAGACGTTTTTTGAAAAGAATGGGCTTGGGCATTCAGAAACGGGCGAAGCCCACAGTGCAAGCGTTGGTTTTTAGGGTTCATGGTTTTAGTATCCAGTTTGACAATGCTTAGGGTTTGCAGCGGCGCGTTCATGGAGTTCCGTTCATCTTCTTTGCCGTGGCTACTGGACAATGTCTCTCCGCCTGAGCTACCCCGCTACCACCTCTTCTCCTCTCAGATGGATTAGACAGTCCTCAACAATGGTAGTGTACTGTTTCGAACTTGTTTAGGTGTTTTTTTAGATTTTTGCATGTCATGATTTATATGTTCTGATCTTCGTGTTCGTTGTGTTTGTTTTAACGAGGTGATGAAAAGAAAGATGAGGAGGGAATATGCTACCTTGAGAGGAAGACGATGGGGAGGAGAGGACGAGGAAGCGCTGAGGAGGCTCAGTGGTGCAGAGGTTTTGCACGATGAAGCTGGCTTGGACGACACTTGGTACCTCTGTATCTTTTCTCCTTTGCTTAGGGTTTTATGATGATTTGAACTGAAAACCTAATTTTGATATTCATCTATTTCTTCTTCTTCTTTGCCACTGTGTGCTCGTTACTTTTCCTCTTCTTCTTACTTGTGTTGCCTTGAATTTTTGCTTTGAGACTGTTGAGCCTTTTTGCCTATGATGAAGCCCTCTTCTGAGGCCTTAGAATTGCCTTGATTGCTTCTTCCATCTCAGTTGCTTTGGTTGCTTATTGTTTCTGGAATATATTTTGTTTGCCCCATGAAGAACCTAGGGTTCTGAGGGCCTGAGTACTTTCTCTCTTCTCTTACAGTTGCCTAGAACTTTCGTATGCTTGCCTTGAATATTTACTGCCTATGATGAAGGGTTTTTGAGGCTTAGAGTTGGCTTGGTTTATTAGGCCATGGTTTGGTTTCAGGCGGGGTTGAGCTTCAAGCTTGAACTTGGTTTTGAGGTTTTTGGTTGGTAACTGGTTTTGCTTCAGCAGGTTTCAGGTTTAGACAGGGGTTGGTATGCTGGTATGGCTTCTTTTTTTCTTGGTTGATGGCCTTAGCAGGTTTTATGCTTGGTTTTGGTTAATGCAGGTATGAGGTTTAGACAGTTTGAATGCTTAGCAGGTTTTTCTGTTTATGCAGTATGCTATGTATGTTGTATGTTGAGGGCCTTAGCAGGTTTTGGTTAGGCCTCAAGCTTGGCAGTTTGTATCTCTGTATTTGTTTTTTGTGCAGTGGGGAGTCTTTGTATATTTTCTTGTATCTTTTTGTGAAAAATTCTGCCTCTCCTGAACTGTATGTGTTCTTGTGTTATATCTTTTTTCTATGCCTGCCTAAAGCCTAAAAACCTGCATTTTATCTCTTCTTTTTCTCTCTCTATAGTACACTTAAAAGAATTTTAAATGTTTTTCTTGTGTACTTTTCTGAAAGGGTCACTTCAATTGGGAAATGATGAAAATGAGTTGCTTGCATATCATACTTTCCTCTGCATATTTGATCTCTTCTTGACAGCTTTTGTGCTTTTTGATATCTTTCAAAATCTTCCTCTTTGATAGCTTTGAGTAGCCTTTTGGATAGTTGCTTTATATTTGGCAGAAAGTTGAGTTTGGACCTTTGGTTTGGACTTGCTGTTTGCTTTGTAACATGCTGATTGAGATTTGAACTTTATGCAATTTTGACAATTTTGAATTGTGCATTTTTTAAACTTGTGCATTCAATTTTAGCAAATAAACTCGTCCCTCTTTGTGAACCGGGAGAAATCCCGTGATTTGCAGAGAGGGTTAACTGATCTCAATCAGTGACTCTTAATGATGAATTTCTTCTGTCGTTTCAATTTAACTGCTTTTTTGACTTTTCTCTTTTTCTTTTGCAGATGAAAAATGGAACACCGGAGCGAAGTGAAGAATGAAGAAATAGGGACTTTAGAAAATATTTAGAAAAAATAGGATAGTTTTTATTTTCAATTTAATTATTGTAAACCATTATTATTTTAAATACTTCGTAAATAAATACTTGTATCCAAATAATAATTGTAACAAATATTAAATATGAAATAAAAATTCTTATTGATTCATTTAATTCTTTTCAATTCCTTTTCAATTATTTACTTATTATTCCTGATTCCTTAAATTAAAATAAATGAAAATTAAATTCCAGATATTTGATTCTTAGAATCATAAATAATCAGTTAAACATTGATTCTTCGTCGATCAAAATAAATAAACTTGACGTCTCCATCATTCAAAGCAACGCACAGTCGAACACAAAAACTGATCAGACGCCATGCTTTCTTATTGATTTCTTACCAAGCACTGTAGATCCAAACTGCATATTTCTTTTGACTGGCTCAAATAAAACAACATGAATTCAACCCAACTGCCTCTTTTACTGATTAAATCAAAACAACGCTAACTCAACCCGAATCTTGGAATAACTTGCAAAGTGCTGTGGAAATTTAATCTTTCTGAGAATATGCCCATAAAACCTTAATTCCTGATTAAATGCCAAATAACGTTCGCCTGATCAAAATGCGCCAGAATCAACCACAACCCTAAGCTAATTGTGTGAAACAATCCAGAGCCCTAAAAATCAATAAAACCCTAATTTTTGTTTGACTGACGAGAAAAGTCCGTTTGTCCGATTCTTGAGCCAGTTTGAAAAGTTAGGAAATGCCTGAAGCTGAGATTTCTTGTGGAAAAAATGCGAGGGCAAATTTTGGGGTACAACACTCATCATCATGAGCATCATCTCAATACACAAGATATCTTTGTTCAAAATATTCTCACGTTTCCTCAAAGGAATTAGGGTTTTGAGCATTGGTCATCTATCTCCTATCTTTTGGGACTAAAGCTAGGGTTTTGGACTAAATCCGTTTATTTCTGATTCTTTGAGAAACACTTGTTTACATGGCCTTCTATGTGTCCCAAAGTACCTATGTGTGAAGTATTGATCAATTAAAATCATCCAAAGAAGTTCAATTGGTCAGAAGACAAGAGGAATTGACTGTATTAGGAAAAGTCAACTAGGCAAAGGAAAAAGTCAACTCTTGACTTTTATGGTCAAACTTGAGTCCCATGAGTCAAATATGGTCAATGGTTAAGATTTGTTCAATAAAAATCAAGAGAATCCTTAAAAGTCAAATAAAGTCAAAAATTGCCAAAATTGGAAATTAGGGTTTTTGGAAACTTACTATTTTTGGCAAGTTTTTGACTTTTGATTAGCTTTATTCATTCATATTTATGTCCATATTTCCCTATGCTAAAGGATTCATTTTGATCTATAATCAACAAAAAAGTTGCTCTACTTATTGCAAGCATTCACCTGACCTAAATTTCATCATAATTGGTCCAATAAATCTCAAGTTATCATTAATCAAAGTTGGAAAAAATCATTGACGATATTTACAAGATTTGACATGTTTTTTATCAACTTCAAATGTTTTCAAGGAAACTTTCTCATTGGTCAAGGTGTTATTTCGAGACAACTTCAACACCAAACTTGTTTTATCTTATTTCAGCTTGTCAATGCTTCAAATTTCATCTATTTTGGTTCACCTATTTGCAAGATATCATGAGTTTAAGTTAGGGTATTCAAAACTAAAAATCACTAACACTTAGTGAAAATTGCACTCACTTCACATCAGTTTCAAACACCAACGTTCGTGTCCAAATTCAAGTGTGCTCCAAGCCTTATTTCAAATTTCTCTCAATATCAATTTTGTTTATCTTCCTTCAAGCTTTCCAAAGAGCCAAAAAACATTTCATTTGATCAAGAATTGAGTGAGTTATGGGAGGTGAAACTTAACTGATCACTATTGTTTAGCATGCAGTGAATTTTTGATTTTTTATACACATAACTTGAACTTTTCATGCATCATGGTTTGTTCACTCATTCACACGCCCTTGTCACACATTTCTTGCCTAAAACCGCCAAGCAAACTCCTCACACCATGCATGCACATTTTCTTCTTTTTGCCAAAAAATGAAATGTAAAATGGTACAAAACTCTCTCCCATGTGACATCATTCATTCACACTTATCTCACTTTCTTTTGTACTCACCAAAATGCAACAAAAACTCACTACAATGAGAGTAAAACGCATTACAACTCACACACCTCACTTTTTCTATTTTCTCTTTTTTTTTTCCTCCAACAATCTTTCTACCCTCTCTACCTCACCCCACACACTCTGTTTAACTCATCCTCACTCTCATTTCATTCACACACACAATATAAATCAATAAAATCATATTTGCAACCTCTCTTTGTTTTCTCCATTTCTCTTCTTCAAAGCTCTTACTACTTGGTATTTTCTGCTTCCCTCTTGCTTCATTCATATCATATGAAGATCATAGAGCATTGGTGTTGGGGTTTCTATCTAATCTGAGAAAGGAAACAAGGGTTGTAGACTCTTACTCCACTTGGTAAGATCTATTCAAACTCTACCTCTCATGCTTAAATTTAAGTTGTTTAAAATGCCATAAATGTGTTCATTCATCTGCATCTGGAAAGCCTGAAATGATGGCATTGTTTGACTGTGTGAATCTATGATGTTTGGATCTTGAGATTTCAGTTTGTATACATGACTTTCGTGCCATATTTCTCTACTTGAGCCTTTGTTTTGAAATATATTTGTGTCGGTTGTGATCTACTCATGGAGATCTACATTTTTGCCTTTTACTATATTCAATATCATGGATTGATGCGTGAGTTATTTGAGATCAAAAACGGTATAATATCACGGTTTTAGAACACGATTTCTGGTTTCATTTTTTGGGAGGTTGAAGATGAAGTGTGTCTTCATCTGATTGGTCATGAAAATTCTCACACACACCCTCTCTCTCTCTCTCTCTTCCATGCTTGCATTCCATTTTTTTTTATTTTTTTTAAATCAGAAAACATAAGATTGGTTGGTGTGTCTGATTGGCTAGTTTCTTATTTTTCCCTTTAGTCACTGAGAGTGTACTTGCCCAATTGATAAGGAGTCTACATGATATTTGTTACATCTCCATTTTTCAGAATAAAATAAAAATGAGATAATGTTGATTGGTTGGACTGAAGCGAACTGGGCCTGGCATGTCTCGCTTTTTGCACCACCCTGTTTTAAGCCCAAATGCACTTTATCACTATTTTCAATTACTCTTCATTATTGCATATACACCCTTGCCATGTCTTTTATTTAAATTTTGTTTACTTGTCAATTTTAATTTAATTTTAATATTTCTCTATTCTCAAAAATTCAAAAACAAATATATTCTGACATTTTAATGTTTTATTTAATTTTCCATAATTTTATTTTTATTTTCCATTTAAATGTCTACTTTTATTTGAATTAATTGCAAAAGATGTTTAATTGACCTAGTCCTGTGAATTAGAGTTTGATTGTTAGTCTTCCTAATTGATTCTTGATCCTTATTTTTGCACACACTTATGCATATGTATATAGGGTTTTTAAGTGTTTATTTTATTCCTTGATCACTCATTTTGGTTCATGTTTGAATCTCTTTTGGAGCTTAACTTGTTTGATCAATAGTTTGTGTTATTTGCTTGATGTTTGAGTTGGTTTGAGTAATTTTTGTACATCCTCTTAGGAACATTTTTAGAACACTTTGAGCCACCGACTTCTTGATGCTATGAAAAATTTCCCATCATTTTTGAAGTCTCCTAAATATTTCTTTTGTGTGATACATTGCATGCCTAATTGCTTTGATGCTTGTTTGCTTTGTCATTTTTTAGAGGTGCACTTGTGCAACCATTTAGGTATGGTGATGGCCCTTTATGCTTGCTTGATATACCATGTGGTAAAGCCTTCCCACTTAATTTTATAGGTCATTCCATGTTTCTTTTATTGTGTTCACAATTGATTGAAACTTGCCATGTATGCTTGCTTATCTTTGGTGCCTTTCCTTAAACTTCTCATGCTATTTCTCTTGATGCTTAGGATACTTGTGTGATTGATATTACATGTCCTTTATCTCTGACTAATTTGACTTGAATACCTCCATTCCTTATCTTATTTGATCATTTGAATAATATGTTGATGATCATCCATTTAGTTGATACACAAGGGTTAGTTTGCTAATTGCGTGACCCTCTCCTATGCATGAATACTTGATATTTTAAAGCCATGATAGATATGTAATATATTGTGTATTCTTCTGATTTTTTTTATATAAATGCTTCATCACATGTTATTTGATCATTTCTTTACCATGATTTGAGGATTCTTTTTAAAGATGACAATGTGTGATGGAATTGTTTTCTTTGTTTGATCATTGTTGAATGTGGTGTTTGTGTGGACTTTTGAAAACTTTGATATGTGTTTTAAATTGAACCTTTTGTTTTTGTTTTCCCTATCTCATGAACCTCGTTTCTACCCCTTTGCCTTACTTGTTAACATTTCTTGATTGAAGGACTAGTCCTTCATTTGGGATGTTTGTGACCATGTGCTTATGTGATCTTGTTGTGCTTCTTTCCCAAGAATGACTGAATGATGATGATGATTAGTTATTTAAGACATTTATGCTTACTTGTATGCCTTTACACCTTTTTAACTTCACTTCACCTTCTTATGCCATGATTGTGTAGGCAATTGACACATAGAACTTCACATGCTACTGTGCTTATTCATTTGCCTTCTCTTGTGTTCCTAATGCCCATACCTCTTGTGCATAACCCATAAGGATTATTTGAAATGTATTGATGTTTACTTCTATGTGAAGTTTCTTCCTTATAAGTGGTTGATACATGATTAGGACTTGAGCTAATGTTTGCAACTTGTTTGAGTTTTGTCTCTTCTTACCATGTATAGTTTGTTTGTTAGATAATATTTGATAAAATGAGACCTTTTGTGATGTGATTAGATGTCTTAAATCATGTTTAGACTTAGGTGTTTACCTCTTGTCTCCTATTATTTGTTTCTTTGCTCAAGTAGCCTTGTTAAAGTGCATGCTTCCTTTTAGTGTTTACCTCTTCTACTTGTCTAGTTAGGTTGTTTTTTCTTCTTCTTGACCCTTGATGCTTTGTTTAGGTTCTAGTTAGACCTAAATGCATGTTAGGGGCAATAGTTTAAGGTTGATTGATGTATCCTCACTACATGTATACTTGATTGCTTGATCATTGCTTTTTTTATTTTCCTCTTTACTTGTTCATGTGAAGTAACATCTTAGGGTTTAAAGATGTTTATCTCTTGTATGATTTGATCCTTATCTTGCATGGATTGATGTATGGTTGTTTAGTTGGCTTATTCCTTCTTATCTTACTTTGATGACATGAATGCCACTTTTCTAGGTCCTCTTTGTGTTTTCTTTGATCCTTGTTTGTTATAATGTCATCTTATGCAATGTTTGATCACATTTCTATTCAATGCTTGTTCATGTTTTCTTTTGAGCTTCCTTGATGCATGTTTAAGTGTTATATTGTTGAAATGTTTGATTTGCTTTACTTGATGAGGCTTTGGTGTTTACCTAAGAGTTTAGCTTTGTAATTGAGACTCTTGGCTTTTGTGTTGTTACCTTGTCCTTGTATTGGGAAGTCCTCTGTGTGCAGGTGTTATCATTGTGATCTTAAATGATCTATGTGATACATGGCTTGGCTTAATATCAGAGGTCTTGCTTTGAGTTTTAATATCTTTAGTTTCTCTGATACTTCTCTGCTTGTGATTTATTTTCACATGATGCTTGGTATATTATTGGTCTATTCTTTATGTGTGGCTTTAATCCAAAGGATGAGAATTCTATATTGACTTCATTATGTCAAGTGTTAGCTTCTTGTTTGATCAGACCCTCCTTACCCTAGCTTTTACTTTATGTCTTAGGATAGTCTTTTCATCTCCTCCCATTCTTTAATTTTTAAAATCTTCTCCTTTTTCAAAGGATTCTTGTTTTCCAAATTGAACTGCTTTCATAATAAACTTGGACTCAGGTCCATGCCTTTTTTCAAAAACTCTTTTCTTAATCAAATTGTCAATCAATCTTAATCAAGATATGACTTCTTTCTTCAATACTTAAAAAATATAAAACAAATTCACATCATTTTTCCGCTTTGGCTTTTTACTTTAAAATTTTTTTCTTTTAAAATTAACCAACACACAACTTTCAAACTTTTTTATCCGAACTACATGAGTTTTGATTTCAACATTACATATTGTTGGTATGTAAACCTAGAGCTCAAAGCATCCAACAATGTTTTAAGATAGTTTTACCATCCAAACTAAACCAAAAGAATCGTTTACCAATAACCGGAGGATCAATCATATCCAAGGCATCAATAAAGTCCCCAAAAACCTCCATCTTCGAATGATTAATAACAACCGATCTACCTTTTCTCTGACTCTCTACCTTAACAACATTAAATCCCTCCAAACACTATTCGCCTTCACCAAACATGTTCTTACAATTAATGATTTCCTCCCACATCAATCTTGGTTTCTAGATTTCACCTTCTATGGTATATGTCCTAATACTAGTGTCTGCAGCCTCCTTACTCATCAAATTTATCAAAATCTCCATAACATGCAAAACACTAGTATGCATATTATATGACCTTGTTTCTCTTAAGTTTTGTTTAATTCTCGGCTAATTAACTAATTTCTCATTCTAATTTAGTTATTTAACTATCCAGTAAAACTTAACCTTTCTCCTACTAACTAGCCAAATAGTCATAACTTTTATCCCATTAACGATTTAAACAAATTTTATTTTTCCTTTTTATTGATTCTTTTTAGGTAAAAATCTTATATAGAGAAGTTGATATGTATTGAAGAAAATTTTATAATAAAAATTAGGGTTAGTTTAATGAATTTTATTACTAAAAAAATTATTTGTGTTAAAAAGATTAAATAATTAAAATTTAACAATTCTCCCACAAACTAATCGAAAAATGTTAATGTTTTTTCACTAACTATTTCAATCAACTTTGTTTAATTCATACCCTTTTGCTAAAATATTTAATAAAATCTCAACCCATTGCACTTTGCTTTACGCAAATCAGTTTGAATTGTCTACAATTTTTTTGGGTATATGTAACTCATATGCGGATTCACAAATATAACCATTACGTTCTTTCTTTTCAAAGTGTCTCACAATAACCGTGAGTTTAATAAATGTGTTGATCGTATATAAAATGTAGGCTTTTATATGTAAGGTGAAATTGGGTGAGAATTCAACCCAAATTATGTGAATGTTGCGGTTTTATAAGGGATGGACTTGAATTAGCTATTTTTTCGTTTTTTATTAATAAATTTGTCATGGATAATGTTCTTACTTCCTCATCTTTTTCTTTGAAATTTTTTCCATTTGAAAACTTTTATTAAAAAAACTAATTTTTTATTTTTATTTTTTATTAACTCTCTTTACTTTTAAGTAACAATAAACTTTTATCTTATTT